TAAATTCACTTAACCCTATCCAAGTTCTCCAAGAATAAAAACAACATAAAGAACACCACTGGACAGCTTTTTGAGGAAAAGAATGACTGTGTTTGTGTGCCTGCAATCTACTGGGGAAGAACCTTGGCAAATTTCCAGCAGCTCCTACGGGAGCACACACACACATTTAAAGCTGAATATGGGGCTGATCAATAAGGCCTTCAATGCTCCCCCTAACCCTCTGGATGTCCCCCACCAGTGTATTTTCCCTTATATTTATTCTTTACTTTTCTGATGTCTTTGTGTCATACAGGATCTTCTTCCTATCTTCTCCACCAGTGGATGGTCAACAATGATGCTGACATGACAATATCAGCGGTGCTCTCTGTGCTATTACACTGTGAGCTCATGGTGACAGCACTAGCTCTACTGGTCCAATTGTGTAGAAAGGACACAAGCTGTTGTGAGTTTTGCTTTTGCATTTAAAGAGGATATCTGGAGAAGCCCACAGTACTTTACATCAGCCCCAAATACAGAACAATCCTATTGATAAATGCCAGAATTTCCATGTTCACCAAGTCAGGGCTGGCTTGGAGATCTAAAATCTGTCTTGGGTTAAAATAATATTTGATCAGTAAGTCATCTGTTCTGGTTGAACAGCAATATTAGATTTTACAAGTCAGTAGTACTACAGATTAAGATTTATATTTATAAAATTTCTCATAATTAAACTATAAGTAAAAACCAGTTCACCTATGGCATGCCTAGCATGTATCAATGCCTGATTCTGATTTTGTACACTGAATGACTGATCTCTGCTATGGTCATGACTATGCTCTGGAATTGCTGTATGTTTATTCTCTATTTTAAAAAAAAACTTTTTTTGATAAAAAAAAACAAAAATATTCAATATCTTGTATTTTACCTTTCAAAAATAAAAACCTCCCCTCTGGGTCTGTCTCTCTTTCTTCCAACTCAAACCTTATATTCTTTGCAAATCCTATAGCTACCCCCTTTGCTCTTTTAACTGGGGAATCTGCATAGTACCATAACGGATAATATCTAGAATTCAACTTTACATTCAATTCAAAATGCGTTTCCTGTAGGAAAACCACTGATGCTGCTCTATGGTTGTAGTTCCTTATATAATTTAAATCTCTTTCCTGGACAACACAACCCATTTACATTATAGGTTATAAATCTTAAATCTTCCATTTCCTTTATATCTTTTCCCTTCTCTCTAACTTATCCTCTCTCTCTCTCTGCCCCTATTGCTCTTATCTTCCTCCAAGCTGTCCAACCCAATACCCTCCCTCCATCCTCACCCCTCCACCCTCCAGTCTTCCCCTCCCCTCCCTCCCACCCCTCCCATCCTTTAGGCTTACGTTTTGCCTATACATCTTTTGAGGGACCAAACCCACCATAGATTACCTCCTTGGAGTTGAACTCCAACCATGGACAGATCCCCCCACCTCCCACCACCTCTGATACCCCAAAACTATCTCAGTCGTCAATTCGATATGAGAGGGGTAGCGTCAAGCGGGATGGGAAAAAAAAAAATGTTTCCATCCAGCGCCCTCAGTTCCCTATCTCCCCCTTCTAGCAAACTGCCACTCCTCTCTCTCTCCACCTCCTAAACCCCCTTCTTCTACCTCCCAACCAGGGACCTCCACTATTTGTAACTCAAGTTTATCACAGAAGTCTCTTAAGTCCTCAGGAAATCTCAACTGAGCTGTAACTCCATTCTTCCATCCGATTAGACACTCCGGCATACCCCATCTGTAGTGCACCTTTTGCCTTTTATCATCTGCTCTAACAGGGTTTTAAAGATCTTCTCCTCCATAGTGTCTCTGCTGTTAAATCCGCAAAAATCTGTATATTCGTTTCTCCATATTTAATACTTGATCTTCCCTTAGTCTTTCTCCATACTTCTTCTTTATCTGCCCATTTCTTAAATTGGACTATTATATCTCTTGGTTTCTCTTTTCCGCTTCCTTGTTGATTTTTTCCTATCCTGAAAACACCTTCCAGGTTAACCATTTCTGTTTCTGATCTGTCCATTATGGAGTTTAATATTTTACAGATAAGGCCTCGTGTTTCTTCTCCCTTTACCGACTCCGGAACTCCTCTTACCCTAATGTTGTTTCTCCTCTCCCTGTTTTCTTGTACTTCCATTCTGTATTGCAACTTTTTTTGATCTTTCTTAATATCTATTGTCCTTTTCTCTAGATCAGAAATATATTGGGCATGACTTTTAACTCTTTCCTCTGTCTCCTCCATCCGCGATAGCATCCGGCCCACATCATTTCGTATGCTCATCATTTCATGCTTTATTGTTTTTTCTAGATTCTTCAACATATCTGCCATCTCTTTCTTGTTTGGAATTTGTAATTCACTTTCAAAGTCTCTCATCTCCAAATTTTCTGTAGCTTGTTGACTGCTACATTTTTTTCCCAGGGAGTGTCTAGGGCCACCCTCTATATTTATTTCCAGTTCACTTTTTTCACCAACAACTTGAGACTTATCTAGAGTCACATTTCCTTGATATGTATATTTTTTTTATAGTACCAGTTTGAGACCCCTTTGGCCCACTATTTTTAACATTTTTATTCTTCATCTCTTCTATGCGTTTTATTTTCTTCAATGGGGGAAACACCAGAATTGATTAAAATATGTGTCAGGGACCTAGATTTATTATTGTCCCCTTCTCCACTTAGTGCACCTTCCAGGCTGCTTTAAATTCCTCCTTTCTCTCAGTCAGACCCCCCAGGGAAACCCCTTTTCACAACTCCTCTTTCTCCCTTTAGACAGCCAAAAAAACAGTCATTTATGTATCGCAATAGTTAATCCAGGCTGTTCACACTCACCCTCCACAGCTGCAGCACCAGCAGACTCCTCAGTTGTCACAATCCATAGCTCTCTTCGGGGGGGGGGGGGGGGTTTCCTCTGGGTCTCTTCTCTTTATCTCTCCCCTGTGGAAAAGTCACCTCCATTCAGGGGGGGAGGGCATCTTGCTGCACCACCATACTCCGGTAGGTCTCCCCGGTCTCTCTCTCCAACACTGTATCCGAGGCGGTGGGGAAGCACGGAGAGCACCCACACCGCGCTCTCCTACACCGCCATAGTTTGGCTCCTTCCCCGCCACACCTACCATTTTTTATACCTACTGATTTGATGCATCAGTAATAAAGCTTTATATTACCTACTACACTATGGGAGCAGAGGCGGACTCACAACTCATGGGGCCCCCAGGCAATAGGGGATCATGGGGCCCGTGTCCTTGCCCAAACTCTAAAAAGCCTATGAAAAAGGTACCAGGGGCATCTCATGGGGCCCCTACTGACCCCGGGCCCTCGGGCAGTGCCCGAGTTTCCAAATGGTCAGTCCGCCCCTGTATGGGAGTATTCTTGTTCCCACCCCCTGAGGGAGTGCTTTAAACCCACAGACCCACCATCCCAGGGCGGGTTGCTACCCTTTACGGAAACCTGGTGATATATTACCATTCCTGGAAGGAACAAGGATACCCCAGTACTTCGCTACATCTGATGACTTGTCCCTTAGAGGGAAGACCTTTCAGCTTCACGCCCTATCAGATGACATCTGGATTTATTGTATAAGGCCCAATTAATATGCGCGTCCAGGAAGTGCGCATTACCTACACTATTATAGCACTTTTTGCCAGATCAAGATTCACTAAAGTCACCTTATTGGAACTTTTTATATATTTACTTGATTATTTATCTATTTATTTTATTTTATTTTATTTATTTATTATACTCCCTCTAATTGGGATATATATCAGTTGATTTACTGTCTTTTTGGACACCGTATTTATATCTTTTTTAGCGCTGCACGATCCTATTTCAGATATGGTTGTAACCTGGTTGAAGCCACGTGGACTTACTCGTCTGACACCTGGGCTCTTTCTGGTGTGTGGCTCTGGGATTTCTCTTTCATTTGAACTGAAAACCACCTGTCAAAACACTGCTATCAGTCTATGCTTTGTGCACAAGAAAGAAAATAACTGTCGCTCATAATATAATTTCATATGTTTATTAATACTATAACGTATAACTATAACGTATAACAAAAGTTATATTTGCATAAAATAAACAAAAGTTGTAAAGATAGCAATATTTAAACTAACTGATGCTACCTGCTTCAATTTTCACATAATTTTTCACAGGCCAGGAGTTCTCCAGTTCAGGAAAGGACAACATTTATGAATAATGGGTGTAATTTCCCCAAAAATAGGATATACAATATGTTTGTGTTTGTGCAGTTTAGGCAGATAAAAAGCAGGGCCTTAGCCTACACCTGAGCAGAGCTTGCTGGTAATTTTTAAGTGTTGTCTGAGTTTTTTTTAAAAGTGTTTTACAAACTTTGTGTAAGTGTATTTTCACTTGTATCAAGCTTTATGCATTTGTTTCCTGGTCTGGGCAAGGGAAGGAGAGCAGTTCTAGAGGAGGAGAAGAGATTTTCATGTGTGCAAATGTGCAAAAATACACGTGTTGCACATTTACAGGTGCACTTGAAGTCTATGGAGCAGAAAAAAATGCCTGAAAAGAGCTCATATACTTTGAGCATAGGGAAACTGAACATACAAGTGTGAACAGGGACAATTAGAAAGAATGGGATTCTGCATAGTCAGGCATAGGGAACCAAACTGAAAACTCTAAAGCAGCCTTTTTCAACCTTTTCAACGCAGAGAAACCCTTGACATAACTTTCCGGTCTCAGGGAACCCCTGCTAAAAATGACTTTATCTACAATGCATGATAAATTAATGTGAGAATCATAGGTAAGAATGCTCCTTACACTTGTGGTCATTGGGAAGAATTACCCCCTTACAGATAGCTGAAAAGATCAATGGTGTCAGTGTGAACATACCTGAGAGGCAAACATTGCTCATTGCTCAAAGAACCCCTGGCAACCTCTGGAGGAACCCTGGTTGAAAAACCCTGCTCTAAAGTGTGTCTGGAGCTGAAACTATAAAATATATTAAGGGTTTTTTAAACTTATTCACTTGTGCTTAGGGGTGATAGGTCGTCTCTTGCGTCCATCAGATTTCAAATATTCGCTGAGTTTTGATCGTTTGAGAACTCGCTCCACATAAGCTGACATTAGTGGAAAAGCAGACAGACATGTTGGAGAAAAATCTAGATTGCACTGCAGAGTATCCACAAGGTTATAGTCAGCATATGTAATCTGTAGGAACAAAGAGAAAAGGTAACTTAGATGGTACAAGAGTAGAAGACCAGGGACCTAGAACACAGATTTATACTAGTCAAAACCCTAATGAACTCTGCTAATTTATGACTGCGATGCTCTTTTTTTTTTTAACTTTTTTCAACTAAGTGTTGGTGGCACTTGGGGAGAATCTGTATCTATTTCTTATTGAAGATGATCTTTGGGCCTTGCATCCAAACAGTAGGAAATAATCCAGAGTCCAATATTACAACTATATATGTCATGTTTACAGATATTTGGTGTACAACTTTGGAAGCTTTGTGATGTCAAATATATCCAACCCTCGGGTAAAATCTGGGCAGTTCAAGATGCAGCCCAGGCTGACTAGTAGTTCAGATCAATAAGCAACTTCACTTCCATAGAAATCTGTAGATCCTCCACCATGTCTAAGAACAGATACTTACCCCATCTCCTACCAGGAACTTGGTTCCATTTGCATTTTTTGACAGAATGTTCTCAAAATAACCCAGCTGCTTAGACAGTTCCTCCAGGTACTTATCCTTGTTTGCTTCCTGCAAGAAGATGTCAAATGGTATTTAGTATATATACCTATGTTTATTACAGCTCTTTTACGATTTCATGGTAACTGGGCATTTTTGTAGACCAGACCTGCTAAGCTGAGCTTGCTAAGTATGTTGCTCTAAAGACAAATTCCACATCTCAGATACCATCTCAGGGAATTATAGTGCTTCCCGTATCCCAGCCCTTGTGTCCCTACAAATGTGATGAGTGCAGAGTGATTAACAAGCCCTCTCAACTATAATGATTAATTTGGTCTCATATACATGGATGCATGCATCTTAAAATGTATCTCCAACCAAAGCTTTTTTTTCAGACAGTGCAGAAAATGGGTTAGATCCTCAATTAGCATTTGCTATCTCTAGCCACATTGAAAAGGCTTCCTTTTATTTATTGTTCTGGTGAAATCTTGTTGCCCAGGCAGGTAGTGAGGGGAAAATCTGTAATGGAAACACTTCAATAATAAAACCACTCATCTTTAGGGGAAGACAAGAACCCCTGCCAGCTTTTTACTTTTGTTTGTGCCCTCACTGTAGGCTTTTCCTCATCTTCTGACAGTCATCCGGACAAGAAGTGAAAAGAAACCTACTCCACTGTGTAGGGTCCTACACATGCACAGCCACAGCCATCTTTTCCTCCCTATGCAAGCCATAAATACCCATTGCCGGTTCTTATATGCACCTACAAATGTGAGTATGAATTTTTTACAAAACTTTGTGTTTTAATAAAATCGAATGGTTTTATGCTATGAGATCCTCCCCAGTATTTTATTTGCATATATGATGGTACACCATCTCAGAGGGACCCATAGGAATAAGCCGTTGGAGACTTAGGGGTATATTCCTAAATACAAACACTACTGACCTGACTACCAATAGTAGGTCAACAACTTGTGGTGAGTGTCTGTCTGTAAGGGTACACTGGAGGCACTGAGAAGTGGAACACCTGTTTTGTTTACACCTGCATGATCACTTTTTACTTGGAGTTATTCACTGTTTATTTGACGTCTGTTATGGTCATATTTTATATTTTGTTTATGTGGATGCAGAGAAGGCTTTTGACCGCATACAGTGGGGTTTTATGCAGACAGTACAGGCTGGTTCCAAACAGCTATTATGTCACTATATTCTTCCCCCTCCGATAGAGTTCTCACAGATGGAGACCTACCTATCTACCTCGTTTGACATCACAAATGGTACCAGACAAGGTTGCTCTTTATCCCCTATTGTATTTGCACTACTTATAGAACCCCTTGCTTCCAAACCAAGAGAAGAATCATTAATTACGGACATTATACACCACGATATTGAACATATAATCAGTCTGTTTGCGGATGATATTATCTTAATGGTCACTAACCCACTACAATCGCTTCCTGCAATACATAACATACTCAATTTATATGCGGAAATTTCCTATTATAAATTAAATGAAAATAAATTGGTGATCCTGAATCCATATACACCACTAGAGGTGGACTGACAAATCATGGGGCCCCCAGGCAATAGGGGATCATGGGGCCCCTGTGTCCTTGCCAAAACTCAAAAAAGCCTATGAAAAAGGTACTAGGGGCATCTCATGAGGCCCCCTACTGACCCCGGGCCCTCGGGCAGTGCCCGAGTTTCCAAATGGTCAGTTCGCCCCTGTAAACCACCAAAAATCCGTCATCTCCTTACAAAGAAATTTCCATTTATATGGGCTAACCAATCGATTCCTTATTTAGGGATCAACTTCCCCTCCCGATTTTTCGAGTTAAATCTCAAAACATTTCTCCTAGCCCTGCCCGGAGAATTTAACTCTCTCTGAACCTTCGGCCTATCCAAAATGGGCCAGATTGCAGCCCTAAAAATGTTTATTCTACGCAAATTACTCCGGACCCTTCCTATTACAATACCCACCTCATTCTTCCACAATGTACAGAAACTTTTTTCCCATTTTTTTTTGGAATCCAAGTGACCCAGATGCGCAACTAACTTATTAATTCACCCACTCAATAGAGGCGGGGGCGGGCCTTCCACACCTACACTATTTAGCTGCACTCCTAGACCAGATTTACTTCTGGAAGCACCCTACGCAGGAAAAAAAATGGTCTACTATGGAACCCCTAATATTTCACCCAATCACACCTCAGAATCTCTTTATTCTTAGATCCATTGATTGTTCACAACCTTCACTTACCCACCCCTGCATCAAAGTTTCCCTTGAGGCCTGGACTAGTATACTGTCCTATCCTTTCCCAGAATCCAGATCAATCCTGACCCCCTTACAGGTCCTACACTCATGGATACCTCTTATCAATCTAAACCTCTGGGAAAATGTAGCGTCCATTTCATAATGGACTTTTATTTATCTAACAAACTAATCCCTTTCCACGATCTCCAACACAAATTCTCTCTTCCTACCTCAGAATTCTTTACTTACATAAGGATCGTCCATTGCCTCCAAACTACAAAAATTCCATCTAATATCACCCTCCCGACCCCTATATTTCAATATCTCAATCTCCCTAAATATCCGGGTAGAGGCATATCCACATTTTATTCCCATATCACTTCATTCAAATTTAACCTACGAACAACATCTCTACGAAACTGGGAACTACAACTATCAGGGAACGAGAAGATCGCCGCAACGCATGAATCTGCGCCTGTGCAGGATTCCGACAAGGCATACAGGCAGGCGGGCACTAAGACCCATGCGCACCTGTCACCGATGACGGCGCCGGGCAGGCACTAGGACCCAGGCACGCCTGTCGGCACTGGGCGGGCTATTTAAAGAGCACCTCAGTGTTGATTCAGTGCTGACTGGTCTTTCAGCTCCCCCCCCGTGTCCTGCTAGTTCCTGACGTTCCCTTTGTTGCTGACCCGGCTTGTTCCTGATCCGACTCCGATTGGTCTCCTGCTCCTGGTTCCTGACTTCGGCTCTGCTCCTGACCTTGGCTTTCTCTTCTGATTCGGTACTGCGCTGTCTGACTGTTTATGACCCTGGCTTGTCTGACCCTGCTCCAGTCCTGTTCCTGGCTACCTACCCTGCTCTGCTGCACATCCGGCAATCCACAGTACCTGCCTCCTCTATTGCTACTGTGCCCTAAATCAGTGGATACTCAGTCTACCAAGGCCATCATCTGCAAGAGCCACAAGCAACAACTCCTGGCGCTCTTGTCCCACTGGTCCCTAGACTCCCCCTGTTCCAACCTCAGTGGGGTCAGAGCTAGGGACACAAGTGAGGCCGACCTCGTCAACTCAGTCTCCCATCAGGTACGTGACAACAACTTTCCCAAACTTTCCCAGATCAAACATGGCAGAAAGCCTTCACCCTCACATATAAAGCCTCGCATTGTACTACACATTGGGAATCATATCAAAAACTCCTGCATCAATGGTACTTGACACCCATTAGACTAGAAATAATATATCCTCCTTGCTTGCCACTTTGTTGGCGGCAAAAAAAACAGGCTCCTTATTGCACATCTTGTGGTCATGTTGACTGGTATAGTGTTCACCCTCTTACCCTCTTGTTCCTTCTGCCCTCTTCCCTTTTTTTTGGTTTCTTCTCTATATAGTATTTTAAAAATTAATACTGTGTACTATGTTTGGCAGTGTCAACAGTATAACAGATTGAACATTTTTCAAACATTTCGCTGGAACCTGCATAAACGAGAACTTGAATGTCCTTTTCATTTTGTTGTTCCCCATCTGTAACTATTCATGTTAAAAACATGGCACAGTTTACTTATGAAATTAGCTTACTACAATGGAAACTGCACTCTGTTACTCTAAAACTCAGTTCTAAACCCTACCCAGCTTGCACTTAGGTTACCATAGGTAATAGGTTACTTAGGTCTGCCGCTTACTCTGACCTTAGTCTGTGTGTGAATATGCTACTGTCTGCCATGTGCCCTGATCTTTGCATGTCTCCAGTTTATGCTACTGGCTACACACCTGCTGCAACATCAAATCACGACAAATTCGTGAAGACCACAGGTACCCCTCAGCATATTGTGCCACTTGGTCAGAGACAATAAAATTGTGTACTAAGCCCTGGGGCAAGTACTGCTAGGCCTGCTTGCCTTAAGGGAACTGAATTTGCTACACTAGCTATATTCTCTGAATTGTGGTACTGGAGCAGATATTATAAACACAACTGATTTTGCAATCATCTTCTTCATTTCATAGCATATAGTGTGATGTACTTACATTATCTATGAACAGAAACTTATAGTATTTCATTCTGAGATCCTCCACTCCATCATTCATCATTTCAATAATTGTTTTCTCCTGCTCATTGCTGCCAGCGACCCCTGCAAGAAGTAAAACCTCCATTTAAAATGTATTATTACATAAAACTCATTTTTGTATGTCGGTTCAAATTAGTGGGGAAGGTTTGAGCAGTAACCCATAACAGTTAAGCAGAAAGCAACTTTTATTAGCCTTACTACAGTTAGTAACTGAGAACTGATTGAAGCTGTTATTTCCCGATCGGGGAAATTTCCCTTTACTTCCTGTCCCATATCCAAAACAGGATGCAAAAGAAAATCCCTCCAAACTGATGGAATCCTAGGGAGGCACTAGGGTCACCAAAACTAGTAATCTTTGAAAGATTCCAACTCTTTTATTGTTCTGGTGACAGCCTAAAATGTGTGATTTTCATTTACTTTCACATTCAATGATAATGCTAAATAGAGCAAGTTGATAAAGTTAATCTCCCTAATGTAGGCACAGACAGCAATATAAACTGACAGGTGTTTTAATTGCTCTCTACTCTATCCAAAACTAAAAAACATTTTGCCACTAGCTATACTTTAATTCTATTGGTTATTAAAAATAAATATCACCGCTGAGAACTGCGATAGTGCACAGTCATTGCTGATAGAGCTTCATGAGAGTGCAGCAACTTGTGGAAGTATTTTATAGGCCCCCTAACGTAAAGGACGAGGAAGAGTTTCTGGTCCTTTCACAGGCTGAAATGGCTGGGAAACAGGAAAATGTTATTATTATTGGCAAATTTAACTATTCTTGAATTGCATAGTAAAAAAAAGGGCTTGCCATTTGCCATTTTCATGGAGCAGATGGTTGTAGCCCCAACAAGGAAAATGCTCTGTTGCATCTATTAATTTCAAACAACACATAGCCTTTTACAGACAGGCAGTTCAGAGACAACTTGGGTACTAGTGATCATGGTATAAATACATTTGCCATACTGTAAGTTATAGGAAAGAGAAGTATGTTGGTCTGACGAGAACTCTAAATTTCAAAAAAGCTATCTTCAATAAGCTGTGATCCTTACAGTATGACGCTCAGTGGAACCAAATATTTACAACAAAAAGCACACAAAGCAAGTGGGAGTGTTTTTAAAAAAAATAAGTTAAATAAGTTCATTAGCCCTGTGCACTCCCAGCACATACTGTATGTCTGGGACTCACGGAAAGGTCCCGATCTCCCCTTGCGATTGGGACCTTTGCCGATTATGAGACCTCTGTGACAGCGAATCACGGCGGTCACATGACCCTAAAACCCTGCCCCGCCTCCCGGCTTCTGAAACTCTTAAAGGTGCCGGCGCAAAGGGTTTAAGGGAATGGTAGGGGACTCTATATAAAAGACTGTTCTTGTCAGTCCAACTTGCCATTGTTCTATAAGGAAGTAAGTGAGAAATTGAATGGTGGAAATCCAATGGATGTAGCTTATCTAGATCAGGAGTGGTCAACTGCAGCCCTCTAGCTGTTGCAGAACTACAAAACTCATTATGCCTCTTCCTCTGGGGATGATGCTTATAACTCTCAGTTTGGCAATGCCTCATGGGACATGTACCCTCACCGGCCACTTTATTAGGTACACCTTACTAGTGCCTAGAAAATATCCCGCACACCATTACAGCACCATGAGCCTGAACCATTGATACAAGGCAGGATGGATCCACGCTTTCTTGTTGTTTACATAAATTTTGATGCTACCATCTGAATGTCACAGCAACCGGTCTGCCAATAACCTCTGACATCAACAAGGCATTTCTGTCCACACAACTGCCGCTCACTGGATATTTTCTCTTTTTTGGACCACTCTCTGTAAGCCTTAGAGATAGTTGTGCATGAAAATCTCAGTAGACCAGCTGTTTTTGAAATACTCAGACCAGCCCGTCTGGTACCAACAACCATGCCACGTTCAAAGTCACTTAAATCCTCTTTCTTCCCCATTCTGATTCTCTGTTTGAGCTTTAGCAAGTCATCTTCACCATGTCTACATGCCTAAATGCATTGATTGACTGATTAGCAATTTGTGTTACCAAGAACAGGTGTGTAGCAATCATGCGCACAGAGATGGACGCTGTTCAACCATTTTGGCTCCAACCTCCATCTTGGCAAAGGATCATCCATCTTGTACAAACATATCTTCCCTCATTCTCCCCCTCCCTCTCTGAGAGTCACAGTGACATTTGGGCGGTGTGTGTGTTGGAAGTGTCACAGGCCGGCCAGGGCACAGCGGGGAGCTCCGAGCTATAAACCATCTTTGAGCTAGGTGCCGGGATGGCTGGGAAGCTGAGCAATCTGGCACCTCATACAAAGATAACCCAAGCCTTCCCCTGAGTTCAAAGACATTCCAGACGAGTAAGGAACTAGATAACACTTTTAAAATCCATTTTTCCCCTATGTCTCATATCTTGGAATATGAGAGACTTACATAAAAAACAGGCATAGCTTCAGATTGGCCACGAGAAGACAAACAGTTTGATATGTCACTCTCCTTGGCTGGAGTACATAGGAAAGCAGAAGATTACATCTCTTGAACCACTCAAGTATGTATTTCATATCGCATATCTAACCGTTCCTCAGATGCGTCTGCATAATAATCTACCTGTGAATGGGATGGTACTTGTTCCTAGGAAAAGTTATGAGCCAAAATATGAGGTAGGAGAGATTTTGGTTCTAGTTTGGGTCTCCGCTCAGACAATCCCTCTCCAAATGAGGCATTGGTCCTTGGCTTCAGAGACACCCCTGGTGGGGGAATACAAAATAGGCTGTCAGGCCTAAGAGTGTAAGTTGAAGAATTCTCCCGTTTAGCATCAGAACCAACTTGGGAGACATGCCCTTTTGCTCTGAAACTTGATCTGCTTAACCCAAGGCTGAGGCAAGTACTTTAACCCTTTACCCTCCTTTGTTACCTCTTTGCTGTGCTATGTTCTCTGTATATTCATATAATATTGGTTACATCTTTTTTCTGTAAATACTTTTATTGCACCTTTTTGACCCTTTAGTAATAAATCTTTCTTTCTGAAAGTGTTGAACTGTTTCTATAGCTCATTAATGCAACTTACGAATTCCTGCCTCTAAAAGAGCGCTACTGTGTTTGTGTTTAACCCTCTGTATAACCTGTCTGCGGTGACAGTGCTATACAGATGATTATCTCAACCATCATAGTGTTATTGCTGATATTGCCGAGTTTCCTCTTTCTCTGTACAAAAAGGAGGTGGTGGCAGTGTGAAGGGTAATTGCGTAATTAACCTGACCCAGTAATAATCGCATTCAGGCTGCCGGTACATTGATTTGTGGTCCATTAGCTGAAAAATCGTTGTGCAGGGTACAGCTGGGCGTGGCATTGTTACGCACGTGACATCGCGGCTTCAGATTGGCTAGTTCTTCGGTCCCGAGTTTGGTGAGAAGGTCAGGGGTCTGACGCGTGATCGTCATAAGGTGTACCTAATAAAGTGGCCTGTGAGTGTAGTTTCAATAACAGGTGAAGGACCCTATTTTGCACACAAATGTTTTTAATTTTGGCATTTGATACTCTACCTCATAAATGTTTAATCTATAAAATAAGGTCTGTTGGAGTTTATGAAATGTATATGGATAGTAAGCTGGTTACATGAATGTTCTTTTCTTTTTTCTTTACAATTGTACATCAATTGATGCTCATGAGCAGTGCAGTGAGCTATTCCTGGGAGCTGGGTGCCAAAGAGTAGTAACTCCTGTGTGCAGACACAAGAGTTAACTAATCATTGGCTCACCAAGTAGAACATTCCAAACCTGAAATGTGAGAAGATGGCTGTATTAGCAAAGGAACAAGAGGAAGTGTGAACCTTGCTTAGCTAAAGGAAGGTAAGCCTGTTGCATAGCATATCTGCACATTATGACATCGACTGAAGGGGCACCCTCTCAATGTATTACCAAAAGTAATTTTCAATATTTTTAAATCTGCAGCTTTTCTTAAAATAATAGCTGCCATGAATCGCCTGAGCTCCCACCTCGCCGACAACAACCTCCTCGATCCTCTACAGTCTGGCTTCCGCACCCTACACTCCACCAAAACTGCCCTACGACCTACTAACTAACTCAAACTCACCTACGACCTACTAACTGCTAAAACCAATGGCCACTATACAGTACTCCTACTCCTCGACCTCTCTGCGGCTTTTGACACGGTTGACCACCCCCTCCTCCTCAAAAAACTGCACTCTCTTGGCCTCAGAGACTCCGCTCTCCTGGCTCTCCTCCTATCTATCACAGCGCTCCTTCAGTGTTACCTATAACGCTGCCACCTCCTCTTCACTCCCTCTCTCTGTTGGGGTCTCTCAAGGTTCTGTCCACGGACCCCTTCTCTTCTCCATCTACACCTCCTCCCTTGGTCAATTGATAAATTCCCACGTCTTCAATTACCATCTCTATGCTGACGACACACAAATCTATCTCTCTACTTCTCACCTCACTCCTTCAGTCTCCGCTCGTATCACTCCACTTCCTCAAACTCAATCTTTCCAAAACTGAGCTCCTAGTATTCCCCCCAGCCCGCGCCCCCCCCTGACTTCTCTATCATGACCAACAACACTATCATCAGTCCCACCCCTCAAGCCAGGGTGCTAGGTGTCATCCTAGACTCCAATCTGTCCTTTCAGCCCCAGGTCCAATCGCTGACAAACTCATGTAGACTTCACCTCTGCAACATCTCCAAGATACGACCGTTCCTAACCTCGAAAACTACTAAGCAACTCATTCACTCCCTTATTATATCACGCCTCCACTACTGTAACTCCCTCCTCACTGGCCTACCTCACCGCAAGCTATCCCCACTTCAGTCTATCATGAATGCTGCTGCCAGACTCATCTACCTTACTAATCGTTCCGTATCTGCCACCCCTCTCTGCCAATCCCTCCACTGGCTCCCAATTGCCCAACGGATAAAATTCAAAACGCTAACACTGATGTATAAAGCCGTTGATAACACTGTACCAAACTACATCACCGATCTTGTCTCCAAATATCACCCAAACGGTACTCTCCGCTCCTCACAAGACCTCCTACTCTCTAGCTCCCTTGTCTCCTCCTCCAGGACTTCTCCAGGGCTTCCCCCATCCTCTGGAACTCCCTAGCCCAATCCATCAGACTATCGCCTACTCTGCTCACTTTTAGGCGCACTCTGAAAACCTATCTCTTCAGGGAAGCCTACCCCGCCCTCAGCTAATACTGGAATCCTCTACTTTTCCAACCACTCCATCCCCCACAGTTATTACCTCTTGTACCACTATCCCCTCCCTCCTAGATTGTAAGCTCCAAGGAGCAGGGCCCTTGATTTCCTCTTTTATTGAATTGTATTGTTACTGTACTGTCTTGTGTACTGTCTCCCACCATAATGTAAAGCGCTGAGCAAACTGTCGGCGCTATATAAATCCTGTATAATAATAATAATGAAGGTCTATGTCCAATGACATTTCTCTGTCCTTGTTTCCCATCTGTTCTCCTTCATTGTCACTTGCCTGATGAAGGGGCCCTACGTGGCTCCAAAACATTGCCGCTGTTGGTAGCATGTGACCACTAAAGCTTCAGACCCTTTTGAGGATTCCTTGGTGTGCTGGTGAGATCTTCCTTTCTTCATTGTCACCCTGTCACACAGGCTTCTGATGGAGACTACAAGTGGCCGTTTCAACACACATTACACAGGCACGGCCCACTCTTGTCAACTTCAGGAAAACAGCTTTGAGATACTGCCATTGCTTAGGTGCATTCATTTAAAAAAGTTGTAAAGATGCTACAGGAGACCAGTGTTGAGATGTAACAAAGAATTAATTTAAAAAAACGGTATATGGATAGAGGAGGCAGAGTGAGCGACTGGTGGTCCTCAGATCGAGTGGTGCACGCTTGTGACTGCAGTATTTGCATTGAACTTCATATCCCCATCCCCAGGCACAATGACAGAGACTGTGGTAACGCCTTCTACACAGAGTATCTGATTTTAAAGAGCAATATTTCACTGGAGGAAGGAGGACTTTAAAGGGAGCTTTAAAGGGGACACACGTTTTGACCTTGCATGTATATGAGAGCACAACTGGTGGGGGTGGTGCAGGGAGGTGAAAGAAAAGAGGCGAAAATATATTTATTTCATGAACATATAATTTGTTCACAAGAGTGTATGAACACATTACAAATGTTAAAGGGAAGAAAACTCAGAAACATTTTTGCACATGGAAATTTTTGCATGCATTTTGTGTTAATATGCAAAATTAATAAAAGTGACATCAGTTAAGTGCTACACCATATTATTTTAGATTTATATATGTATAAGTGAGATACACATATTTTGGGTGTGGGCAGCTTTTTTCTTAAGGGGGGGGGGGGGGTAAGAAAAAAGGTGTTTAAAAAAACCTGTGTTGCTACTTGATAACCCACATTAAAAAAACGGCAGTGTTTATAAGCTTATATTTATTAAAACTGGCGCACTCAGAATCTGGTGTCAATGTGCATGGTAGCCAATCAGCTTCTAACCTAAGCTTGTTCAATTAAGCTTTAGCAATAAAACCTGGAAGCTGATTGGTTTCTATGCAGAGTTGCACCAATTTTAATAAATAACCCACTAAATGTCATTCATTTAGGGCTTACATCTATTTTAATGTTAGTCCACAAATCAATCAACCCATAGATTACCCAGTTATTTCAACAAAACTTCTTTATGGGCATAAGTTCCATAGATTTTTTTGTAGAGAGGAGGCAATTCTTTTGGCTTACCATATTTTCTCCCCAAATATCGCAGAATGGTGCTGCTTTGGTAAAGCTCAAAATCTCCATCTTGAAAACAAGGCAGTTGCCCAAAGACCTGTAAATAATTACAGTTCAAATAGCTAATACATAACATATGCATGTTAACAATCATAACAGGCATCTGAATTTCATGCTTGTTAATTGGAGTGTGCTTACTCCAAGATGGCTTTGTTCTTTAAGAACCTGAAGATTTCTTTGCTACTGGGTACTTATTGGGAACTTTGCATATTAATACTGGATGTGCCTACACATATGCAAGGTCCACATAATCTTGAGCCACCCATGACTATCACTAGAGATGAGCGAATTATTCAAAAATTCGATTCGGCTGATTTGCCGAATTTGCGGAATAAATTTGATTCGATGCGAATTTATTCGCTGCGAATTTAACTTATTAAAAGGGTTTCTAGGCTTCAGAGAGCCTTTATATTAGTGCAGAACACTGTACCTTTAATTTAAATGCCCTTGGAGTCTGCTGGGGAGAGAGAAATAATACTGTCAGTCAGTATGACATGCAGATGAGTGCCGTCGATCTTAGAATCACCGCACACTTCACTCATTTGGGCAGTCACGGGGCACGAAGAAGAAGAAGAAGAAGAAGAAGAAGAATGAAAAGAAGAAGAATGAAAAGAAGAAGAAGAAGAATGAAAAGAAGAATGAAAAGAAGAATGAAAAGAAGAATGAAAAGAAGAAGAAGAAGAATGAAAAGAAGAATGAAAAGAAGAAGAAGAAGAAGAATGAAAAGAAGAATGAAAAGAAGAATGAAAAGAAGAAGAAGAAGAAGAAGAAGAAGAAGAATGAAAAGAAGAAGAATGAAAAGAAGAAGAAGAAGAAGAATGAAAAGAAGAATGAAAAGAAGAAGAAGAAGAAGAAGAATGAAAAGAAGAAGAAGAAGAATGAAAAGAAGAAGAAGAAGAATGAAAAGAAGAATGAAAAGAAGAATGAAAAGAAGAAGAAGAAGAATGAAAAGAATAAGAAGAAGAATGAAAAGAAGAATGAAAAGAAGAAGAAGAAGAATGAAAAGAAGAAGAAGAAGAATGAAAAGAAGAATGAAAAGAAGAATGAAAAGAAGAATGAAAAGAAGAATGAAAAGAAGAAGAAGAAGAATGAAAAGAAGAAGAAGAATGAAAAGAAGAAGAAGAAGAAGAATGAAAAGAAGAAGAAGAATGAAAAGAAGAATGAAAAGAAGAATGAAAAGAAGAAGAATGAAAAGAAGAATGAAAAGAAGAAGAAGAAGAAGAAGAAGAATGAAAAGAAGAAGAAGAATGAAAAGAAGAAGAAGAAGAATGAAAAGAAGAATGAAAAGAAGAATGAAAAGAAGAAGAAGAAGAAGAATGAAAAGAAGAAGAAAAAGAATGAAAAGAAGAAGAAGAAGAATGAAAAGAAGAAGAAGAATGAAAAGAAGAAGAAGAATGAAAAGAAGAAGAATTCCAGTACAGCAAAAAGTGTATCTGCAGAGAGCTCCGCTATTTCTGACAGTTCTCTGACAGTTCCTTCACATTTACAGCGGTTGAAACATTGTATCTATTTGTTTCTGAATAAAAACATCTGTATCCTAAATGGAAACAAATAGATACAATGTTTCAACCGCTGTAAATGTGAAGGAACTGTCAGAGAACTGTCAGAAATAGCGGAGCTCTCTGCAGGGACACTTTTTGCCGGCTGTAGAAGGGATGAAAATCGGCCGATCGGGAAAAATTCGATTCGTGCATCGGAAGTTTGCTAATTTTCGGATTCGGTGCGAATCGAATTTTTCCTAATATTCGAAACGAATTCCACTTCGCCAAGTTCGATTCGCGATAGTGAGTGTATACTGTAATTAGCAATTAATTAATGCAGAAAGTGTGGCGTTTAAGGAATTCCATTTATTGGCTAACTTGTTATTGAAGATGCAAGGATTTTATAAAGATTGAAGAAGTGATCTAAGTCAATGCCAAGCTCTAAACTTTCTGCAAGAAAAAAGAAAAAAAAATACTTACCTCAAACATGGCTTCCAGCTGCTTCCTATAGGGTCTGGTGACAATGCTGTCTCTTGAGAAAGTTAAGTTCTCCAGGTTCTTTGAGAACATACTTCTGCATTGTGCTATAGGACTATTCAAGAGGAGGCACTGAACTGCAGTGGTATCACATGTGCCTATAGGAAGCAGCTAGAAGGGTCCAAGGTAAGTATTTTTTTTAAACCTGTGGCTATTTTTAGCTTTTAGTTTTTTGGGGGTTTTTAGGGTTAGAAGGCTCAGTAATAAGTTATTAAGTGAGCCTTGCATTTTCACACTAGGTTGGCTTTAAAGACATTTCTCTTATTAATGTTTGACCATTAAGCACCTACAGAGACTCTCTGCGATTGGCCTTGCCATTAAATGAGTGCTGTAAATCCTCATTTTCATACACAAGCATTCTTCCCCTGCACCTGGCAGTCCCTAAATCCTATAAACTTTCAGGGAGGAAGGAAGCTGACACTATTTTCCTCTATCCTTGTATAGACAAGTCTCTTCTGCCTTGTACACAGGCTGCCAACAAGTATGCAGGCAGATCATGCTGGTAAATGAATAACATGGATAACATGGATGCACCCTCTATTCATAGGTTTTGTAAAACATATAAAAAAAATTGGTACCATTTTGGAAAATGAAAAAGTTTATAAATGTACAAATTAAGCAAAAAGTTGTTAAAAGCCCCAATCATTTTCCAACAAACTGAACAGTGGTGTGTCTCACGGCATTTTTCTTCAGATCTCTTTTGCCTGAGACCCAATCCTGCATTTGGACCTCATCCTCTGTCCAGGAAATTCCCTGGTCAGCAAGTAGGAGTCGCAAGGGCTCTGCTCTCCCTGTAAATATATAAAGATCTCAAATATCAGGTAAGAAACCAAAAGAGCTTTTAAGTGTGTTATATTAAACAGAAATAATGATTAAAGTGGTTGTAAACCCTCCATATACCTAGTGAAATGGTTGGCCTCAGGTGATACTCAGATGAAACAAATCCTCCTACATAAGTTGTACCTGTTGATCTGTAGCGATCTTTCCCCTACATCCATTCAAAGTGCAGAATTTACACAGGATCTCTCAGCTCTGAAAATCAGGGGGTGAGGAGCTGATTGGAGGGAAGGACACACTCCCCTCCACACAGCACACAGGAAGAGAGCAGTGACTGTCAATCTGCTGGAGATCCCTCCCCATCACCATTTTTCTCTGGGTGTCAGGAAAACTTGTCAGAAGTGATTCATGCTGATAGCAGAGGAAAGAGGAAGCAGATAGAAATGACACTTAATGCTCTGGACTGAGACAAGTACACACTATAGAGGGATATGCTTCATATTTCATGTCTGAGGTTTAAAACCACCTTTATAATAATGAATTAAAAGGGAATTCCTATTTTAAAAATGGCATAATACAAAATATTGCTAAATCTCTAGCAAAAGCCTTTTTTCCAACTTTTGGATAGGGTAGGGAACAATTAGAAACCCCGTCAGGTTTTTTCTCACTGCCTCTGGCCCAATTTGGAAAATTTCCCCTTGCATTATTCAACATTTGTCACCAAGACAGGAAATAAGAAATATCTATTTAACCAGACACAAAGCAAAAAAAAACTTGTAGAAACATAGAAGAGTAATAACAGAAGAGAACTAAAGCTGGATTTTAGATGTATCTAAATTTTTCCAGTTCAGCAGGGACTGACCGAATTTTGATCCACCTATAGCAGTTCCCATTCCAGAGGAGTTGCACTACCGATCATCTCCACTTGAATGGAACTGTTGGTATATTTTCGTTTGATCAGCTTGTAGGCAGGTACAGTTAGCCACTTTGCCACTAGGTGACTCTGTACCAGAATAGTGTCTGGTACAGCAGGTAGTGACACTAGGTGTTAGGCCCCTTTTAGGTGGAGCCCTCCCACAGTGATGCAAGGGGTGAGTCAGCACCCATATATAAGCTAGGTGGGGAGGAGCACACGCTCTCTTTGCAGGCATGGGAGACAAACACCCCACACCTGTGAGCATGTAATGTACACACGTGGACCCTGGGAAGGGCAAGAGGCTGGGTGGAGTGGACCTGTATGCAGGAGGAGCTGGCAGTAGTTATTATGTCCCTTATGGAGGTGGGGACTAAGGCAGATTGCAAAAAGCTTTTAGGCCAGGCTGGAGATCCCTGTATGAGGCTGCTTCCCTGGAGGGTTCCCAGGAGATGTACCCACCTAATAGGTGATTAAAGAGAATGCAGTCCTGTGAGTACTTATGACTCTGAGCAGAGGAGAGACTGAAGGTCGATGGCTGTGAGGTGCTGCATTTCACTTGAGACAACTGTGGATTGTCTACTTTATGTTATTGACTGTGTACTGTATGTCAAGTGACTCTGGCTTGTATGTCCTTGTGATATGACCGTCTTGCCATTCCTTTGTTCAACCAGTAAAGTGCATGGAAGTTATATATTGTGTGGACATTCCTTCTTTGGATATAAAAAGGTCTATGGCTGGGGATGTCATGAGGCGGCCTACGACAAGGAGTAGGGCACAAAATGGTGGAGGAGTCAGCCTCATCAGGTGGGATTGAGGAAGGGCTGAAGCAGGGGTAGGACCTTGTGCCCAAAGCTCCTCTTACAAGTGCTTGCAGCCACTTTGTTGCAGCACTGATTAATGTATGCTGACAGCAAAGTAGCCTCCTCTGTCAAAATGCAGTAGCGCAGCGGGGAGGATTCCTCCATCTACCTCGATTGTGTAAATGGGGTGACCTGTTCGTTCATTTGTTATTTGGGTTTTTTTTGATCAGCTGGCCTGATTCACTGCCATCTCCTGAAAAGTTGGCCAAGGACACCTCCCCTCTACTTCTGATATGGTATGCATACATCTGTTTTAGGAGAAACTCCACCATATTGTTACTCACATTCTCCTGACCTTAGACCCAACCTCCATAACAGCACTAGTATTCTCCTGGCCTGAGGCCCATCTCCATGAATAAAGGAATGTCCACACAAGTAACGTTTTACCATTTTTTACTGTGCAATGATAGGTCCACAACTCCGTACAAAAAAAAAATCCAAACCAAGTGGAAGGAATAATAGAACAATTATGATTTTATAGTGGAGGCTGCTAACAGAAAATGCATATGAACCAATGAGAGAAAACTGCATAAACCAGGGTTGGAGTGCCTACAATGCTGGGTAATATAAATAAGTCAATAAGAACAATTTAAAATCCATGTCAGTTTAATAAAGTGCTGATGCAAAGAAAGAGAAATAACATGGCGGTTTACATACAGCTGGGTGCAGAGATGACTATGCTTCTCTCATAGAGCACAGTAGGATGACTCAAACTCCCAGATCGGTGGGATGTGCTGACATATTCTGGTGACCCCTGAAAGATGGGAGGTATAGAATCTGGCAGCTGCCGGGGTCCCGTAGACGATGTATCCAAGGACCAGAAGTGAAGTGCTCTTGTGGCCAGAAATGCAGTCATGGTACTAGCAGAAGAAGCCAAAAGAACCTCCGCTGTGTGGGAAACCTAGCCAATGGAGAGCCACCTCTGGGAAAAGCCATCTCTATGAGAGAAGCATTGTCATCTCTGCACCCAGTTATATGTAAACTGCCATTCCTGTGTTGTTGCTTTTTCTTTGCATCTTTAAAATTCATATCAGTTTATTAAACTGTTCTTAAGTGGTTGCTGAGTATCATCCTTTGAGCTCAGACTTATTTTTATTACCCAGCACTACAGGTGCTCCAACCCTGGTTTATCCACATCTCTGTATAGCAGCTTCTTTAACTCCACTCTGCAGAACAGCAGTACAGTACATATCAGTGCAGTAAACGTGAACTCAGAAAGTCCACCCATCTCTCCCAAATCTCCACAATGAGTCCTCCTTTCATAGCCCTCATCCAGAGTCTCTTGATGGTGTGGCCCTAAGGGCCCTCTCCTTTACAGGCTACAGACATAGGTATGTCAGGGGTAATTTGTTCCCATACTCCTTTTGCCTGGGACTCCACCCATACCAGCTTATAAAGCGTACATACTCCACCCACCAGCTACACCCAGAGATGTGACCTTATTAAAAGGGTTACTAACTCCTGCATACATGCAGACAGCAAAACAATTTTAACAGTGCATCTAAACCAGCTCTATCCAAAACATAGCAAAAAAGGTTTGCCTAAAGATACATTTTAATTTGTGTCCTCCAAGAGTATGCCACATTAAGCAAAATCTTCATTTTCACAGTAGTACTGGTCATGGTAATTTAGTTATGGAATGTGAGTTTAACCTGTTTAGATCATCAACTTACCTCTTACAGGGAAATAAGTTAAAACTAATTCAGACACTGCAAGAAAAAAAAGAATATAATAATGTCATTTACACAGTAATGGTTCGAGAAGTAATGCTAGCCCAATATATTGAGATATCTACCATATTTATCCAAATGAAACTGGCAGCAAATTGTGGAAACTCTAGATTAACCCAAAATGTATTTTTGCTTTCTTTACTAATATTAAGAGAATATTATGTTGTGCAAATAGTAAGGTGATCGTAGCTGTATTAGAGCACTTGCAGCAAGCTGAAATGACAGCTGAGTACTGCCTTTAAATCTTAAGCTTTGTTATTTTTTTCTTAAAAATCAGAACAAGGGATGAACGATTTCATTCAATGAGAAATTTCCCTTGTGCTGGTGACTGCTGGCTCTTTCACACTAGTGGCTGGGGGCGTTAAAAATAGGAGACTCTCCCCACCTCCCTTGGCCATCCATCAGAATTATATTATTACAGCTGCACATAGTGCAGTCACAGTGCTTTGCTTCATGGCCACAGTAATTTTAACTCAGGATGCAGAGTTTGACAGATGTCACTGCCTGTCAAATTTAACTATTGGGATCAATGGAGCAGCATCACCACTGCGATCCAAGAGCTTTGGCCATTCAAAAAAGTAAAAAAAAAAAAAAAAAGACTTAAAAAGGCAGCAGTAGCACCTCCTGAATGCCTGCCAACCGCTGCTGTACCTCTCTTTGATAAGCAATCCATTGCAGAATGCTTATCAGAAGGCAATAAACATTACTGACAGCTTTATACATGCACCAATCGATAACATGAACGCTGACAGATAAGTGAATAACATTGATTATCTCATTACATTTGCAGCAAGTGAACATGCGGTGAAGTTGAAATATGGATCTGAGTGACTTCGACAAGGTTCAAATTGTAATGGCTAGATGACTGGGTCAGATCAACTCCAAACCTGCAGCTCTTGTGGGATGTTCCCAGTCTGCAGTGGTCAGGACTCACCAAAAGTGGTCAAAGGAACGAAAACTGGTGAACCAGTGACAGGGTTATGGGTGGCTAAGGCTCAGCGATACTTTGATGTGGGGAGTGAAGACTGGCCAGTGGCCCATGTATTCCGATCTAATAGAAGAGCTAATGGAGCTCAAAAGGCTGAAAAAGGTATTGATGGTTCCGATAGAAAGGTGACAGAACACACAGTGGATCACAGTAAATTGTGTATGGTGTTATATAGCTGCAGACCGGTCAGGGTGCCCATGCTGACCCAGGTTCCGAAAGTGAACACATACAGTATGGGCATGTGAGCATCAGACCTGGACAACGGAACAATGGAAGAAGCTGGCCTGGTCTGATGAATCCTCAGACAATGTTATGTAATATATATGATGTATGGTAATAATTGTTTAGTATTTGCATCGCAGGAGCATCACATTGTGCGGCATTTTATTTTGATTCAATTGTAATATATGTGGGAACACATATGGTGTCAGCTGCAATACATCATATGGTGTGAGTTATACGGTTGTGATTAATTGCGCTGAAGTACACTGCACAATTTAGAACTAACTACTTATTAAACAAATTTAAGAGAATGCTTTAAATGGTATGTTTAAGATATCTAAGAACAAATAAGAGGTTTTCTTGTCAGAGTTTACTTACTCTTTAAATAAGAAAGAAATATGCATTGCAAACTACATATAAACCCTGCCATTCATGAAAAAAATTCAGATACTCCATATAGAATGGCATTGTCTAAAAACAACCTCGTGACAAACAAATGCTTTCTACAACTTAAGTTCTTGCTGTAGGTTTGATGCTGAAGGTATCCATAGGGACATGCATGGTACTGATTCCCAGGGAGCAGCTGGAAGCACTGATTGATCGGGAAAACAGGGTGGTTGTACAGACGTCGATCAGTAAATTGACTTCTGTACAACCACTATCCCCCATTTATGGAGCAAAATTCAACCAGCAGGAAATGGCCGAATTGCGATCCATGTATGGCCAGCTCTAGATCCTTGTCCAGTTTACTGATTCCCACCACAAGATTGAGGCTGATCCCACTTATCCAGTTCCTGTTTCCTCTATGGAGTCAAGTCATATTTTATTCTGGTTATACTTATGCTCTATTTGTTTTTTCTATTGGTTCAACTAGATGGACTTTTTTTAACCTGGCTGACCATGTGACTCTATGGAAATTTCCTGAAGGATTACATGCTAACCCTGGTGAAAGATCTACCCCTTGCCCCTAATAAAGAAGGTGCTTTGAAACATGTTGGGATGTTTCCCATACAAACTATCGAACACTGATGGCTTACCCAATTAGGTCGAGAGTACATATGGGAATATGGGCCAGTAGAGAGAATATGGTGACATATTAGTGATATAGTATATCAGCCATAATATTGTATATGCAGGCACTGATTTATTCAAATTGCTTCATGTACAACAAAAACTGACATTGAGTCTTTTAAAATATGGTTTTGCTACTTTGTACATGTCTGAAATGTCCCATTATGTGTTTTCAAATAATCTGTAGATTTTTAAGGGACGTTGCCATGACACAACATATCACCTCTGATACAGTCTAAGGAATGACTGTATGGTAAATGGTAAAGTGGTATTAAACCCACAACCAAAAATGTAATATTTTACAACTTGCCAATCATTAAATGTGATGGTTGCATTCGTTTTTATTTTTAGTTCTTTTTTTCCTTCTGTTTGCACGTGGTGATCTGGCCAGTAACACACTTCCTGTATTAAATGCCTCCACTCTGGATTAAGGAACACAGGGGGCACAGCAGACAGCAGCATTGTCAGTCTGGGGGGGAGGGGACTGTTACTATACTGTAACAAATTGAAGTCAAACTCCAGTTCACACTTCATAATCAGTTACAATAGTTTTTTTTTCTTTTGGGATAAAGGTTTTACACAAGTAAATAAAAGCTGATCATTGTAAACACCCCTGCCAGTGTTAAATGGTTTGTCTCATCCTTGTGACTAATATATCTGGAAGAGAGCTTGTTATTTTGAAAAACACCAGACTTTCTGGCTGGATCACCAGATGAAATAGACAAAAGAAAGCCTAAAAAAGGAAACTAATACAGCCATCACATCTAAGAATTGGTAAGCTGCAAGTGTTTGATTTTGGATTAAAACAAAAACACTGTATTTACATAGTCTCAGAGTAAGAAGTGGTTAATTAATAACAAATAATTTAACTTGGCCAGACAGTAATGTTGCAGAGAAGGAGTTTGGACTTTACTTTGTTTCCTAATCTTAATAATTATTCTAGGTTCACTAAATCAGAAGAAATCAAACCCTGTAAGTCAACATAGTAGCCAGGCAATCAGCATTTCCAGGTGATCAGCAGCTGCAGCCTCCATATCTCTCTCAAAAAAGGTTTACTTTAACCACTTATGTAGTATTGCACATTTTTCTTGTTCAAAACAATTTTTATTATTAGTAAACCAGAGTAACATAAACGGGGAGACATTACCATTATACATTGGACATTGTAGTGATAGCAAAACAGAAGAAGTGAAGATCACGGTACAAATGTCCATACATTTCCGACAAAAACAGGTAGTTAAGAATTTATGACAAATAACATTATATCTAGAGATGAGCGAAGAAATGAAAAATTCGATTCGACTGATTCGGCGAATTCGTGGACAATATTCGATTCGAGTCGAATAAATTCGCTGTGAATTTAACTTAAAAAAGGGTGTTTCTAGGCTTCAGAGAGACTTAATATTAGTGCAGAACACTGTACCTTTAATTTAAATGCCCTTGGAGTCTGCTGGGGAAGAGAAATAATACTGTCTGTCAGTATGACATGCAGATGAGTGCCGTCGATCTTAGAATCACTGCACACTTCACTCCTTTGGCCAGTCACGGGGCCAAAACCAGTGTTTGGAGCCACAGTGTGGCGGTGGAGGCAGCAGCAATGGGAGGCCATACAGCAACCTATGACAAAATGGAAACCAGCAGGAGCGTGAGGAGACCTGAAAGTGGCACATGGCAGAGTGGGAGCAATGGGAGGCGGTACAGGGACCCAGGTCACACTGTGGGCCCAGCAGCAGCGTGACCAGGCGGTACGGGGGCCCATGGCCGATATGGGGCTTGGTGGCACCTATGGAAGGCCTGTAATCTGCCAGCAACCTATGACAAAATGGACAACCGCAGGAGTGTGAGGAGATTTCAAAGTGGCACATGGCAGAGTGGAAGCAATGGGAGGCCGTACAGGGACCCAGGTCACACTGTGGGCTCAGCAGCAGCGTGACCAGGAGGTACGGGGGCCCATGGTCGATATGGGGCCTGGCGGCACCTATGGAAGGCCGCTAATCTGCCAGCAACCTATGACAAA